ACATTGAGGCTTGTGTCGACTCCACGGGACGTATATCCGTAGCGCTGACATTAGTAGATTTGACTAGCGTATTATTTGATATATATATATATACATATATATATATATATTATAATAGCCTATATTTTGCAAATTTTTAAATGTATGCGTTGCTCAAATATAAACTTACAGGAATCACGCCGCCTAATTGCAAAGACAGGTGGACAGCAAAGCTGACATACAGAGCATTTCGAAGTGTTGGATCTTTGATGATTTCCAGCATGCTTAGCTGAAAACAGTTAATACAATCAATATATATATACATCGGTATTCTCATTTAAATTCAACCTATGTAGTACGTAGCGTATTTATAGGTACTGTATGGGATGGATTATATAATTCGGAGGGTTTGTTGTGGCGTGCTTTCCGATACTGTGGGTGTTAGAGAGGTGAGAACTGAAATCATGAACGAGATCACACGCATGTTCGGCCTATATTTACGTTTTGCCTAGTTTTCTGTGATTGATGCTCGTGCCTTAACTCCTCAAGTTCCTCTCGCAGCTCTTCCGGATCAGTGGTCCCACGGAAGAATTGCAAAGCTGTAACAGGAACGAGGAAGGTCCGGCAAGTATAACACTAGTGAGTAATGCGCTATTGGTAATACCCGTCAGTGATAACAATACTTATTCGTGTTGCCAAATTATATCACCTTTCTTGAACTGTTAAGCTCAGTTAAATATGTGATTCGTACCGTTACGTCATGTAAAAATCATGCAGCCACACACTTGGCAGACAACCACACAACGGCTTTCTGCTTAATTACGAACCACAGCGCCAGTAGACAGATATATTGTCAATCGTACTTGGAACTAATCAAGGTAACGTCGGTAATATCAAACGGTGTACTGATGGCTTTACAATAAAACATTGCTCTGATTTGTATTTCAGTTGACATTATAATGTCCAATAAAAATTAAGAATACGCACACTCTAGTGCCTCCTTTTCCTTTTGCTGTGAGCAGAGGAGGAATCGTGGACTTTCGGGACTAAATGGCAACGAAACCAGCTGGAAGACGGTAGTGATGGCAGTTATACCTGTAAAATACACATTATGCCTAAAATAGTTGTCTACATATAAAATTATATTGATGTTTTCTTATAATAGTGTACGAACGTCTGCGTAGATCTAGCAAACCCACATCCTCTGTAGTGCGTTTATCATATGGGCTGTTGCACATATATACCACACGCACGCGCACGCATACACGCGCACGCACACGTGCAGACACATACATCATCATGTGTAACATATAAATAATGTATAAACATAATCACGAGGACTCGATGAGAATGTGTTGGCCGAAGGTTCACCCAACTTAACTGAGATAGTTGAGATAAGAGAGACCAGTACAAACATCATAATATATAATATATATATATACTATATAATACTATATACATATGAACAAGTCAGTAAAGTCGTTTGGGCACCGGCTTGTAAACGGTACTCTATTCAGCATCTGCTTGCAAAATTGACTGTGAATCTGCTGCACTAAAGTCCGCTTCATCGGTACAAGCGTCCGATAGGGTGGCTAGTAGGGACACGCGCGCGCAAACACGGGCAGATGATACTGTAGCTGGCTGCGCAGTTGCATATCTACCACTGACTCTTTTAATAGGCAAAGTTGTCAGCAAGGTGCCATAAAGATACAAGTAGTTACAAGATGCCATTCATATTATCAAGAGCACTTATAAGGGCGTGTGCACTCTTGATATTGTTATAAATAATATATTTACTACATAAAAGGAACCAGATGTCATGTTCTGTGTTTGTCAGTTGCGATAGAAGTGTTACACGTGTTTTTTCGCATGTATTTGGCGTATTAGACGTCAAACCCCCCGTACCGTAGTGTCCAAAAACTTTACGCAGCAACAAATGTCAATGATGTCATTATGGTTATGCAAATGACAGGTTATGACTGGCTACTGAGAGAAGGTAAAGAATGGAAGCTGGTGGCAAAAGAGGATAGGGATACGCTGGGTGTAACATGATCTGAAAGTCGAAAAGTATTTTGTGAGATCTTGCCAAGGGTATATTCCTGTACTGATAATATTACCGTTCCCAACCAAGTGTTGCTGTCACGAATCAAACTAATAAACACTGACGTTATTATTCACTGGTTATTTGCACTAAGTTAGCTAGGTTTTGTTCAAGAGAATTAAAAAAATTTCCTAGGCTTTAGACATAATCAACATTGAAATGTTGCAAACATAAGTAAGGCGTACGTACACAGCAGGAGGGTCCAAAACTTTTCATTGCCAAATACTTCTTCTAGACCGAGCAGCTGAGATAATAACATAGACGTTGCGAAACCAAATTCGTAGAGTCCTCCCATTGCACCGCGAAGATGGCGTGGTGAGATCTCCATAAAGTAAAGGGTTGCGACCGAGGAGAAACCTGCAAGAATTGTTAAAATGTTAGTTTATCACACAACCACTGTCTACGCGGACCTATGAACACACCGCAGTTGTATAAGCAATTGTAGTATTCAGTGGTTAAATGCCTCTAAACGATTATAGATAGGTTAGTGTCTTATTTACAGATTAACGCAAGAATGCAGACAGCCTAATGTACATCACACTAGTTGGACTAGTTGTGTAACGACGCTTCTGTGGTTTCTCATAAAAGCATGGCAACCTATTGTTGCCTGTGCTATGAAGAATTAAAAAAAAAAATACCTGCTGCCAATCCGAATACCAATCGACCTACAATGATCATCTCGAATGAATTGGCTTTCTTTGACAGTCCCATAAGCAGACAGCCTGCTAAGACTACTACACTGTTCATCAGCATCAGTCGTTTCCTGTAAAACCATATCGAATCATTATTCTTTAGACAGGATACTCGGCGTTGATAGCTAGTGGGGTTACATTATGAGGAGGGTGGGACCGCGGTTGGGGTTGGGTTTGCGACCGAGGTTGGTCATAAATCGGGGGTCTCGAAGACGGTGGACATGTTGGATGATGACAGTAGGGGACAGGTTGGGAGACGGGATAGGGAAAAGGTTTGGCGACGGAGATAGAGGGCAGGCAAGAGGACCGAGGTAAGGAATGGTGGGGTGGGGGTAACGAACAGGCCCTTTCGACAGAGGTAGGACACGTATTTTTGCCCTCCAACATTTTCACTCAAATGGGGCTTGCGTATCGAGCGGATATCATCCCAAGCACGCGTTTGCGCGCGCACACACGCACACACGCACGCACGCACGAACACAGGCACGCACATAGGCATATAGACATATTTGCGTGTTCGATGCTCTACGCCATGCATTACTTAGCGTAAGAATTTTTTCCAATTTTCCCCAAGGCGATTACTCTGTATGAGCTCCCATAGCTACCACAGACTCCTCTTGTAGGCCCGCCGATTACGGATCATTGTATTGCATTATTAAGGCAGGTCGCCTCCCCACCAAGAACAGCTGCGATTTTCAATTGCTAAAATCTATTAGTTACCTTCCTAATTTTAAACGTTCAAACAACTCAGGAACACTCGGACCTCACGCTACACTGATCATGCAGAGACGTGCGGAGGATGGCGAGTCTTACCGGCCAAACCTATTAGCAAGGCGTCCAGTTAAGAAGCTCGCTGACAGGATACCGATTGAGTAGATGGCCGCCGTGAAAGACCAGAGACCTGTGAAGGTTTTATCTGACATCGGTGTGCCGTCATTCCGCGAAGCATACGACGTGTTGTAGAAATTCTGCAAGACCTGTTTAAACACATGAAAGAAATATTTCTCGTCAGCTGTAGCGCTCATGTATGGGTTATTGTTACAGTGAGAGGCAAGTTATAGTATACTACACGCGGTCGACGCGCGAACGCAGAAACGTCGAGAAAGCAATTGAAAAAATGCTTCCAGAATGTTGAAGCATGTTTGGGGTTAATCTAAACATACCCTTTTAGGATTGTTGATGACGACCATGTTGTACCCAAACAAGTACGTCGTTCCTATGACAACTATGATAGCTGTCCGAGCCAGCGCCCACGTCATTCCCTGCAAACACATTATACATTGTGCATGGTTGATTAACAAAGTATAACCAAACGCTAATTCATTGTTCAAATGAACCGATAAATAGTAGTAATAATAATATCAATAATATTGATAATAATAATAAGATCGATGTTTTTGTGTAAACGTGTCGTGTAAACACGAATATTGGTAAGTGTTATTGCTGTATTAGCTTTATTTATAGCTTTTTTATTTTTAGCTTTTTTTTATAGCTTTATTTTATTTGTGTGATCCAAAATATGTTACCACACACACGCACACGCACACGCACGCGCACACGCACACGCACACGCACACACACACACACACACACACACACACACAC